CATCTGCAATTAGTGCCAACTCAACTTCTGGCACACGCTCCCACCCTAACCCCTCGACAAGGGCGTATAGGGCGCGAAGGTCAGCATATCGCATCCTCTCTAGGCTCAATGCCGCGGATCCTTCCTCGCTCTCAGAGAGCGATAAGGCATCATTAAAGTGGGCAAGGGAAAATGTCAATCTTCGGCCCTCCGACATTGCTTCTACCTCTGCACCTGCTCAGAAACGACAAAGGTCGATTGAACAGGCTGGGAAACCAATTTCAACTAGCGCTCCTAAGCGCCCCAAATTTGGTCCTCCGAGACCCCCATCGCTGTCTAAACCTCTCAGCGAAATAGTTAAAGAGAGCCTGACCTGGGCCATCATCGACGCTGGCAACAGTGATGGCACCATCTCTCCAGCAAACTGGAAGAAAGTCGAACGGGCTCTTCTTAAAATATATATGGAAATCATTGCCCTCAACCCTGGGCCATCTCCCAGCTGTAAAGACGCTGGATGGTACCAGGGTCATATTAAAATTATTGCCTGCTCAGATCAGCGCTCCGCGGATCTTTACAAGCAGGCGATCGAGAAGGTTGGGGAACTCTGGCCCGGCGCACAGCTCAGAGCTGTTTCGGTGGAAAATATCCCACAACGCCCCCGCTCCAAAGTGTGGCTTCCTTCGGAGCTTACTTCCCCTGAGGAAATTCTTTCCCTTTTAAGGGCCAGTAACACTGACCTCCCCACGCATAACTGGAAAGTTGCGAAGGTCAGTGACCCCAAGGGCGACTTTGTCGAAGCCGTCGTAGTCCTCAACGAAGAATCTTTAGCACCCCTTCAAGCCCGAAATGGGGTGATTCATTATGGCTTCGGTTCGGTCACTCTACGTGTTTACAAAAGTGACTCTCAAGCCGCTAAGCAACAACCTTCTGGGGGGGCACCTTCGGAAACGATCTCCGATGACGGAATCGGTTCCATCCCAGTTCCAATCAACCCCGATGTAGGAACTTCCGATTTAATCGGCACTCCTTCCTCCGAAGACGGAGGTAGCGTAATCTCGTCTTCCAAACTGGTCGGCGAGTTCTTTACAGGTATGGCGCTTTCCCGGGAGACCTCACCGATGTCGGATGAGGATGAACTGGACAGTACCATAGTTGAAAAACAACTAAGCTGTTGAAGGTCGTCCAAATTAACCTCCAACACTCCAAAACTGCTTCGGCAGCCCTTACCCTCCGCCTAGCTGAAAAAGGAGAGGACATAATGCTGATCCAAGAACCTTGGATTGTAAACAATCGGGTTTGTGGACTGAATACAAACGGCTATCGGTTAGTATTCACAGAAGGTCAAGGTAAACCAAGATCTTGCATTCTAGTAAAAAATAACATTAATGCCTTTTTACTCCCTAGGTTCAGTGACAATGACAATGTAGCCATGGCCATCGAATACGACTCCAAGGCCCTTTGGATTGTCTCAGCATATATGGCACACGATCACGGTGCCACTCCGCCACAGGACTCCCTCAAGCTTCTGGTGTCAGAGGCAAATAACAGGAGGATCCCGGTGATCATAGGAGCTGACGCCAACGCACATCATGAGATGTGGGGTAGCACAGATACAAACGCGAGAGGTGAGTGTCTATTTGATTTCATTCTTGCAGGAAACTTGGTGATCGCTAACATAGGTAGGGAGCCAACCTTCATGAACTCAATTAGAAGGGAAGTTCTTGATATCACCATGATAAGCGAGCACTTCTCTTATTTTATTACTAAGTGGTCCGTATCGCAAGATTGCTCCTTTTCTGACCATAGGTACATTAATTTTGATCTAAATTTTGTGGAGAACCCTGAAATGAACAGATCATCTAAACCAATAAATAGGAAACGTACTGTATGGCCCATTTTTCGAGCCAACCTGGAATCCAACTTACAGTTGGACCCTCCCACTATTCTCAACTGTTCCGATATAGATCGAGCGGTTGACCTTCTCACATCAGCATTTAGATGCGCCACAAATGCGGCCTGCAAGCCACCCGAATTTAGAGGCAAACCCAAACCTCCATGGTGGAACTTGAATATTGCAGACCTCCGAAAAACCTGTAGAAAACTTTTTAACGATGCTAAATCAACAGGTAACTGGACTCCATATAAAGTGAAACAAAGAGAATTTAAATACGCCATTAGGCGGGCCAAAAGGGCAGCTTGGAAAAATTTCTGTGGCAACATAGAATCATCTTCCGAGTCAAGCCGACTGCGCAAAATCCTCAATTCTACCCATAAGACACTCGATTGTATCCAGGCTCCAAATGGTCAATGGACCAACTCCAGTAAGGAAACTCTCGACACCCTTCTGGACTCGCACTTCCCAGGGAGTATAGCCTCTGATGCTGACTTATCAACTCAAATCAGCTTACCCCCTCTAAATAATCCTAATCCGTTTCAAGTGACCAACACTCAAATAAAGTGGGCTATCCAAACTTTTAGACCGTATAAATCTCCAGGTCCGGACGGAATTATTCCCGCAGATATTCAACAGGGTGAACTCGTAATCCTCCCCTGGCTTCTAAGCATTTACAACAGTTGTATTAAGCTTATGTATGTTCCAAGCTGCTGGAGAGTGGCTCGAGTAATATTCATTCCCAAAGCAGGAAAAATAACTCACTGCAGTGCCAAGGACTATAGACCAATCAGTCTGTCTTCTTTTCTTCTGAAAGTACTGGAGAGAGTTCTTGATCTGCATATCAGGAACAAGATAAACCCAGCGCTCTTATCTCCATCACAGCATGCTTATACTAAAGGCAAGTCTGTCGATACTGCGCTTCATGCACTCATCTCGGAAGTTGACCATTCCATCTCTCTCAGGGAATACACACTTGCCACCTTTCTCGATATTGAGGGCGCTTTCAACAATGTCTGCCCCAATGGTATCATAAAATCCCTCTCAAAGTTAAATCTCGACAATAGTCTGGTTAAATTTGTAGAGGCCCTTCTCAAAACTAGGATTATCACATCCGACATCGGAAGTGTTCAATCCTCCAGAGCAGTCTGTCGGGGAACGCCACAAGGTGGAGTTCTCTCTCCTCTTCTATGGAACATAGCGGTTAATTCGTTGTTAAAACTTTTGGAACAATCCGGATGTAGTGTTATAGCTTATGCGGACGACATTGCTATTGCCTCATCTGGCAAATTCCCCGAAGTTCTATCCAATGTTAT